CTGGCTTAAACTAGCACTAAGAACTGATTGTACAATATATAGTGCATTGATGTCTCAGGACTTAAAAAACCACTCCGTTAATATTACCTTATTTTTTGCACTGTAAGACGCACCGGACCATAAGACACACATTAGCTTTAGAGGAGGAAAACAAGAAAAAAAAATTCTGCCTCTGCCTCCCAACATCCATCCGGTATTCATCCTTGCAGCCTGGTCAGCTTCAGCACGTTATCTCAGCCCCAACACATGGCTTGTCAGGGCTCTGCTCCATTGCGCCCACCACCGGTCAACTGAACTGATCTGCTGCTGCTGCCAGGAAACGCTGAAGCTTTTGCTGCTGAGCAGATGATTGGCGGTTGGATCGACCTCCAGGAATACCACCGATCAGCTGTTTTAGGTGGCAGGGATCACCGCTGCCATTTGGCGGTATTCCAGGTGGCCAATCCAACCGCCGATCAGCTGCTCGGCAGCAAAGGCCTGTGTTCTCTGGCGGCGACGAAAGCGGTGACAGGTGGTGGTGGCGAATGCCGCTTCCTTCTGCCGCAATATTCGCTCTATAAGATGCACAGACATTTCCATCCACTTTTTTGGGGGGGAAAGTGCGTCTCATAGTGTGAAAAATATGGGATATCACTGAATGGTATTTAGAATAGCTCTTCACTCTTTAAATGTTATTACCAATCATCCAAATTACTGTGAAATTAATGTAATTTTATGCAGAACATAACCATAGAGCATGCTTGTTTTCTTTTAGTTATTTTCTAGGCTTTTGGCTTGAGCAAAAATGAGACAGCTCTGAGAATTATCTCTACTTTAGAAAGATCTGAATATACCTTAGTGATTTACCTGATGTAATATCAAAAAAATTTCTTAACCTTTTGCAGTTTTTGAATTGTTTTGTTTAGAAAGGATAAAATGTTTTTTAAACTAATACTTGTCTTCTGAAGTGTATGTCTTATGTCCTCAGTCAGCTTGTCCTTGAGGTCGAGAAGAAACCTGTAATGTAATGTAAATGTAAATCTCTCAGATCTACATTTTAAAATGTACTTCTGTTCCATGTATGAAAATAATTTTGATAATGTGTGTATGGAAATAAATTAATCCCCTTTTTCAGTTCTTTTTCCCAACATTTCATGTAGATTAGAACTCCTTTTTCATCTAGAAATACTGACAGTAATATAGAGTGCTTGGGCTTGAAATAAGGAGTATATAAGAAACAGTTGACGCAGAGCATTTACCTTCTTGGCATTCATTACAAAGTAAAACTTTGTGTCAACTGTTTTTTGTATATCCTTTCTATTTCAAGCCCTATTAAACGAAAATAAGCAAATGGAAAACCAGTAGAATAAGCAATGGATCATTTTTATTTGTATCATCTCCCTTCCCCATTCAACATATTTGGAGTTTAGTGTTTCCATTATTGAATAGTTCAGATCACTTTTTTCTTATTGGCCAAGAAGACAGAAACTGGGAGAGCCATTGATGCTTCAGTGTATGTTTTTGTTCCCATTGGTTCAAGTTTCATATGCTATGAAATGTTAGCGTTACAGGAGAACAGGGATTTGGGATGGAAAGCTGATCAGCATTCTTGGATTATATAAAGAGATTTAGAAGATCAAATTTAACTGTTATGCAGTTTTGTGAAAGTATTTGCATCAAACCACATTTATGGTGCAATCCTATATGTCTAAATTTATGCACATTTATAGCTGGTTCCCAGTGAAAAGTTCCTTTTATCAAGTGCTCCAGCTTTGGATCAGAGTTCTAGCAGCTGGCTGGGTGACTTTGGAACAGTCATTCTCTCTCAGCCCAACTCACCTCACAGGGTTGTTGTGGGGAAAATAGGAAGAGGAAGAATTAGGCATGTTCGCTGCCTTGAGTTATTTAAAAAACAACAAAGGCAGGATATAAAATAATTATGGGGTGTTGAAATATCACTCTTGGTTTCAGATATTGCTATTTTTGATGCAGATTTTTATCTTTTTCCTTTTGCATAAAGTTTGGCTAATTTGTTCAATATAAAGTAATGTAGCATTGATGGCTGTGGTTTTTCAGAATTTCCTTAATTGAGCCATCAGCTTAAGTGCAGGTGATAAATTCTAATTTGATTAGCATTCATAAAGTTACAATACATATTAACAACAATTATATATACTGTTCTAGTCAAAAACCCTGGGAGATATACAAAGAACATAATCTGGGCTACCTCAAAATAAAGTACCACAATCATAAATAAGATACTCTCTTTCTCCACCAAGTATCAAATCCACAAAGGCCTATTTAAAAAGGAAGATAAGAATTGTGAGAAAAAGTATATAGAAAGGTGTGTATTTAAAGTTTATTCCCATCATTTTTAGTAATATAAAAGTCAAAAAGAAAAAGAAGAGAAATTCAAATGACGAAACAGAATCAGAAGACTCTGAGGAAGACAATTTTGAGGACCTTGATGATGAGGAAGTCTCTCTGAGTAGTATGGATGAAGACTTTGGAGAAGATATTGATGAAGAGGGAGGGACTTTCATGGATGTGTCAGACGACGATAACACTCCAGGTAAACAACAGTTCCCATAGTCCTAAAACTTTTTACTCTTGCTAAAACAGTTAAACCATATAGATAAATTGTTCTAATTTTAAAAGTTATGCTGTAGAAATCCCTGTGGTTACTCAGAGATCTATGAAATCTTGAATTGTTCCAATATTTGTAGTAGCAAGTGTTTCCAAGTGGACATCAAAATTTCATTCTGTAATTTTCAATTTTATTATGTAATAAAGTTTTACTAGCTTCTTTTTGTTAACAGATGAAAATAATGACACTGCAATCACACCTGGCAGTAAGAATGGCAAAAGAAAAAAAGAAATGGATTTTGCTGGATCAGTTAAAGGTAATATAGGTAAAAGTAATACTTTTAAGACTTGACAAATAAGAAGCATGAGAAATTCATGTTTCTGTCAAAATACCAAGGGATTAGCACAAGTTACCAGAATTATTTTCTTTCCAGTGCACAATCACAAGCAGTTTTAGACTGCATCAGGGATTTATATTAGTGACATTTGGAAGGTAATAAGGGATTTAATTTTATTTGTGAAGTCTTTAAATGAAAGTAATTCCAAATTTTGCACTGCAATATAATTTCATTGAACCCCACATTCATTTGGTTAAAATGAATGTTGTTTCTAATTCCATTATAAAACAATTTACCAATCAATCCAGTTTTTATATCAGAGGAGTGGCTAATGTTACATCAACTTTCTAAAAAGTAAGAATTTCGGTGAGGGAGAAACATGGAAATTTATAATCTATTGTTAAATTTCTTCCTTCTAAACCAGTGGAAAGTGGTAGGTTCTGTAAATGAGGATGTTACTGAGTTAAGAAACTGGAACTGTTCATTGTATAATATTTCTATCCAATTCTGATCTGTGGATTTTTCTAGTTCTCTCCAGCCTCAATTGATTCTTTGGCCACTGCTTTGTTATACCAACAGCAATGAATGCTTGCTTTATGTAAAACTGCAGAAGCAATTGCTGAATGCTCTTTTTCTTTAAGGGTCAAAGAGAAAAAGAAAACTCAAAGATACTGGTGTTGCTGCTGCTGCAGAAGAAGTAGGTGTCTTAATTTTAGTATCTGTTAAATGGTGTTTGATTTGAAGGCATTCAGAGATCTAATTGTGTTGCATTTCTTTTAAAGTTTGGTCACTTGCTGGATGAAAATATTGGGTCCAAGTTCGACAATATTGGAATGAATGCAATGGCCAACAAAGATAATGCAAGTAAGTAACTTGTATATGAACATCTTTGACATCCCACCTCAACAGGGTGTACCTACTGTAAACATTCTTACAGATCAGAGCCATTATTGTTGGATTGGTTTATATTATTGTTGACTCCTGACAACTGCTAGGAGTAATCCCTATAGTGTTTATTAGGACTAAGGAACGTGGATGGAAGTACTTAATGTAGTTGCTAACTGCTTGGTAGTGTCTCATCACTTATACTTACTGAGTTTTTATTTTTCGTAAGATGCCTAGAGTCACTGAAAGTGAGTGGGCAACCATATAAATTTTCTAAAAAAAAAAAAAAATAACTTTTGTGAAAAGGCTTTTAAGCATTGTACTGTTGAGAGGCTTCCATTTATCATGTTAAATAGAATTTTAATGAATCTGCTACTGCCAGTCCTTTTATGCCTGATTCTTTATTATGCTTAATCTTTTACTTAGCATATGAAATACTTCTTTAGAAGTGCTGGTTAGATAAAACATACATAGAAATATATAAGGATTGGTATTCTGCTCTTTATTCCACTGGGAGCCTTGGCTAGATTTCTTTAGCTTCCAAAATAAGGTCAAACCTATATTCAGTCTAGTAGTATTTCTATATAGAGATAGAATGTAAAAAGTTTACTTTATAAAATTATTCACACACAGGGTGGATTTGATTTAAATCGAGTTGATTTAAATCACAATTTAAATCATGATTTAAATCACTAGTAAAAAGGCTTGATTTAAATCAACTCGATTTAAATCATAATTTTTAAAGAGCAACTGTCATCTCTGCTACTCCTTTGACCCACTGTTGACTCACCGATAGTCCTAGTGTTGCAGAATATACAGCCTCATGCTACATAACTAAGCTCCATTTTATGCTGAATAAACTAAATTATTTATGTATCTTAAATAGAAAACTATCTTATGATAGATTTTTATCCCAAAAGTTTTTTATTAAAATAAATTCGATAAAAATCAATAAAATCCGATTTAAATCAAAAAAATCTGATTTTTTTGATTTTTTTAAAAAAATCATTGATTTTTATCCACCCTGTTCACACATGAAAAAGCAATTGCCTCAAAGCATAACTGCTGAGACCTCTATTACTGTTTTTTAAATATACTGAGCTGCTTACTTTAGATATATTATGAAAAGACACAAAATATGTGGAAATGTGCAGTAATAAGATTGAAGAGCCTGCTGAAAAACAAACAAAACAAAAATGGAGCCTTTTAAAATACCTTTTACATGCTTTTTTTAATGAAAAAATGCAACCAGAGTATTTGTGGTTTGATCTTTTGAATGTCTTGCCTTACAAATACTTTGCATCCAAATAGAAAACTCTGCTTTCAAATTTAAAGAGTGTACTTATTCCATTGATTTATCTAATTTATTCACTGTCTTCCTCTGTTAGATCTCAAACAGCTCAAGTGGGAGGCAGAACGCGACAAGTGGATTCACAATAAGGACGTGAAAAGCATCATCAGGCAGAAAAAGAAGTTCAGGCACAAACCACTGAAAAACAAACAAAAATACAAACGAAAAAAATAAATGTAAATTCTTTTGATATTAACTACCACCAAATTGTTTCTACTTACTTTTAGGGTTTTTTTGTAAGCCATTTCTCTTCATCCAATTCTTTGAGCCCATAAATACCAGCCCACTCATTACTCTTGTAATAAACTGTGAAAATAAGAAAATGCCTTAAACTTGGTTGAATTAAGAGGGAATTTTGAAGATATGATATTGAGTATATTTTTATTCTAATTTTCAGAGGAAAGTCCTGCAGAATGATGTCTGTACCAAACAACTATATTTTTAAAAAATGGCTTGTTTCATGGACAGAAAGAATTACACTTGATAATTATTAACCAAACATACCTTCCAAAACAGATGGACACCTTCGCTTCATTTTATGTCTGAAATCTGGGGCAAAAGCAATTTCTGTTAGTGACAAAGTACTACAGCAGACTTTAATACAGTAGTTGTACAGCATATCCATTTTTTTACATTATCCTAATCTTTCGGAATTCACTAAGTATGAAATGGTAGTTTGTAAAAGAGACAGAGCAAAATGTCTCCTTATATTTTCAAAAACTTTGAATGAAGTTAATATCCAAAGAATTCTTGGGAAACTCAACTATTGTGAAATAAGACAGAAATACCATGTTTCATTAATTTTTAAAAAATGGAAGGACTAAGAATAAAGGCCTCAATGATAGTGAGATTCTCAAAGATCTGCACTGGAATTAGTAATATTTAATGCAGGGGTGGGCAAATGTAGCCCTTTTACAACCTGTGGACTTCAACTCCCAGAATTCCACAGGTTGTAAAAGGGCCACATTTGCCCACCCCTGATTTAATGCATTCATAAAGGAACTTCGACTCTAGTAGCAATGAATAACTTGATGCAATTTTTCTGATTAAAACAAAATGGGATAATGAAGACCTTTAAAATCTGGAACAATGAGCATTAAAATCTCAGTTTAGTATAAGCCAGTGTAGAGTTATGGACATTTAGAAAAAAAAATATTAATTGCAAATATGCTAGAAGGATCTAAACTAGTGTTGACTATCCTTTAGAGCAAGGGTCCTCCATCCCTGGGCTGTGGTCCCCTACTGAGCTGCGAGTCATTTGAATCTGGGCCATGGAAGTAGGTTTTAAGATGCCAGCCACTCGCACAGAACCATCCCCGCTCCCTCACTCCTGCTTGCAGACAAGCAAAGCCAGAAAGGGAGCTCTGCTTTAGGGGATTTTGGAAATATGATGAATAGTTTGACAAAAGCATCTCCTTATGAATAAAAAAACAGAGGAAACTAATGTAGAAATAAGTAATCTCTTAATACAAATCTATTTTGATATCTGAAATGTGGATATAGCTCTCGTCATCACACCTCAAAGATAATAGTATGCTGGGAAAGGTGGAAGGAAAGAGAAGAAGAGGACAACTAGCAGATTCAGTTACAGTAGCAATGAGTGCAATTGGGAGACGTGAAAGAAAAGGTTATAGAAAGATCATCACAGAACATATCTATACAGTCGCTAGGAGTTGAAAATGCCTTGGCTGCACATAAGCAAATCTAATGATAGTGAAAGTGCAGAAAATGTGGACCAGTTGCTGCTCTATGAAGATTACAATATTTATGAATTAGTCAGATTATTTAATAAGGATGTATAGAAAAGGTGTTTTCCCATTGTAGATCTAGCACGAACATACTTATCTATAATGTATCTATTGCCACAACGTTCAAGAAGCCATACCTTTTCCTGGTCTTACTCAATAACACTAGGGAAACCCAGAAAAAAAATACCACATGGTTTCCTTATGGTGTGACTGACAATACAGTAAAGTGTATCAATACCTGATCCAAAAATTTTTTCCCATTTCAGATATGACTGCCCACATCAATGAAGTTACTTGACATAAAGTTGTATCAGATTCTTACCTTCGCTTGAGTTCATCTTGTAATACAAAGTATATACCCCCAGAACTCCAATAACTTCCAAAATTAGAATTTTTTTGAAGAGCCTGACAGAAGTTAGGGGTTTCATTGTTCAGCCAATCCCAAATCCTAGTGATAGAAGCGAATAGCGGTTAGTGGTGACATTTCAGTAGTGACTTTAAAATTAAAAGAACAAGAAACGAAAATTTTACACAAAGAAGCTGAAAGGGACAGAACTAAAGATATATGTTTTCCAAAATCTCAGTTTGTTAATCACTGCTGAGGTACTGGATGTTCCAATGATTTTCATTTTGAATCAAATAGTTTACTTTCAACATTCACTCAACATGTATGGCAAGAATGGAATGTCACTTAAGAATGTGTGATTTCTCTTTGTTAATACCGTTTCTCTGAAAATAAGACATCCCCTGATAATAATCCCAATCGGGATTTTGAGTGCATGCGCTAAAATAAGCCTCCCCCTGAAAATAAGCCCTCTCCAAAAATATTTAAATGCAGAGCTGGAAATCAGGTAAAATGGCAAGAGGAGCCCCATCTTCCTCTACGCACCCCAAAATAATAAGACCTCCCCGAAAATAAGGCCAAGCGCTTATTTTGGGGTTCAAAAAATATAAGATGGTCTTATTTTTGGGGAAACACGGTATATTGTGTAAACATGTAAAATGTTCAGAATGATGTGAATGTATACATGGTTTTCATGGACATGACTATTGGCGTTGAGGATCTGAATGGAAATGAGAGTTGGATGCAGTGGAAATAGGGTCATTAAGTGCAATAAGAGACAATGGATGATGAAGGTGAATACTAAAGTGAGTGATAAATAATATATTTATTTGGTAATATATTTGACTGATAAATCACAAAATACGTATAAGGATGAGTGAATGGGCTAAGGAAATAAAAAAACTGGGTGCATGGAATTGAGTTCCCAAGAGAAAGGTGAGTAATTTAAAGCAATGATCCCCAACCTTTGCAGCTTAGTGGCCTGGGAGGGGGAGGGAATTGGGTTGTAGGAGTGTCGGGTTGGTGTACACGTGGGTGCACAGCTGAACTTGTGTGAGTGGTGGGCTGATGTGCATACACGCAGCTTGACTGCAAGTTGAGCTGTGCACGCATGCCTGTGCTGACCCGCTGTGCACAAGTTGAGCTGTGCACACACATGCATGCTGTCCCGCCTTGTGCGGCATGATTCTGAATAGGCCTTGGCTCAGTATTGGGCCACAGCCTGGGGATTGGGGACCCCTGGTTTAAAAGATAAGGCAATATAAGAATGTATGGTTGTTGGAAGAAAAGTTTTCCAAGTGAACAGTTAAATTAAGAGGACTAATTTAAGAATTATAATACCTCTATTCAAGTATAGTTGAATTAATTCTGTAGTTCTGAAAGAGCCCTCAGTCTGCAAAATACACTGGGATTAAATTTTGAAATGAATCTGACCTCACCTGAATCCTAAGAATAGTGCAATGTAGTAGTTAATGCACTGAATGCCATTGGCCAGACCATGTTCTAGTCAATTCTCAGTCACACATACTCAACGATTGAGTTGGGCATGACTTTCTCATGCTATTGTGAAGAAAAATGAGATGAGGGAGTGCTTGTGTCCTACCTTCAGATTCTGAAGGAAAGGGAAGATAATAATTTTTTATTATGGTAACAGACTAGTATTACAAATAAAAGCATTAAAAGCAACAATAATAAAAAACAAAATATTACTATTAGTGAATTATCAGTGGGCAGTTACCATATGCCTAATTTTGCACACAGTATAAGAAAATCTGGCCACATTCAGGGAAACTGCTTCATGCTGATCTGATAACAGTACTTGTACATAACAGAGATCAGTATTTCCTGGTATTTTATTAGGTGAGGTGTATAATATAGCCTGTAGTCAAAGCTATGGTTTTCCCAGTTGCAATGTATGGCTGTGAAAGTTGGACCATAAGAAAGGCTGAGCACCAAAGAATTGAGGCCTTTGAACTATGGTGCTGGAAATGATTCCTGCAAGTCTCTTGGACTGCAAGGTGATCAAACCAGTCAGTCCTAGAGGACATCAACCCTGACTGCTCTTTAGAAGGCCAGATCCTGAAGATGAAACTCAAATATTTTGGCCACCTAATGAGAAGGAAGGACTCACTGGAGAAGAGCCTAATGCTGGGAAAGATTGAGAGCAAAAGAAGAAAAGGACAACAGAATGAGGTGGCTGGATGGAGTTACTGAAGCAGTAGGCGTGAACTTAAATGGACTCCAGAGGATGGTAGAGGACAGGAAGGCCTGGAGGAACATTATCCATGGGGTCATGATTGGTCGGACACGACTTTGCAACTAACAACAACAATAATATAGCTGGCCTATATTAGCTATAGTTTTAATGGCCCCTTGTCCATAGGGACACAAACTCAACTCATATGGGTTTTTTTGTTTTGTTTTCAGCCCTCCAAACTGCTGTGGGAAGTGCATTGCGGCGCACTGAGGTTAATGCCCTTCAGATTTTTGGGACAACTATTCTATAAAACTATCTCACTGCTTTAAAAGGGGAAAGTAGACTGCTAAAAAAACAGTCTTGGAAAGAGCAGTCTGATCTGATCTTTGATATGTAATTTGAATGCACTAAGTACACACTCATACCCCAAAGCAGGATACGAATCTATTAAAGAAACATTAAAAGTATAAATATAAACGCTAAGATTGCTCACCAAAATTTGCTCTAAAACACTTGCCAAGGCTTTTGCTGATGATGACTTCCATTTTATCATACTGACAGTGGGGTGAAATCATATATGACTGCTGTGGTAACAGGCATTGCATTGATCAGCATGCTGGGTGGGGAATTCTGGGATCTGAAATCCACACATCTTAAAAGTTGCCAATTTTGAAAAACACTTAGGTTAGTCCATCCAAAAAACATTTGGTGCTACGGAGAACTGCTATTTGCTCTCCAAAATTAGCCCTTCCTCCTGACTCAGAGGCAGATAACTCCTCGTTCTAGCTTCAGGTGAAACTCGGACTTTCTATGGGTCCCGTCAATGTAGAGCTGGTAAGTTTCCCCGCAAAAAAACATGCTGCTACTTTTCTCTTAGGACGAAATATGCAAGCAGCAATTACCATTGATAGTGCCCAGACACTCACAATCCAAACGTCCTCTGCGGTAAGAGAAGCTTCCAGTCATCCTTCCATGCCTCTTTCCTTCTTACCTCCGAGGGAGGAGCTAAGCCTGTGCGCGCAGGCGTAAAATGTTTTTCGCGTCTGGAGGAGCTTAGCTACTACTTTCCATTCTGCGCATGTGCAAAGGTGACCTCGTCGAGTTTACGCAATTTACTTGAATCCCGCAAATAACGCCTTTTGTTTTTCGTTCCCGCGGCAGTTTATTGAAGCAATAAACCGGCAGAGCAGAGTACGCCCTCTGTCGGCGTCTTTCGGAATGAGCCTCGCCGTACAGTAACAATGACTTTTGATCAGTTCGAACAAAAATCCGTCACGCAGGAGCGATGCTGAAAGACGCTCGGGGAATTTGCGAATGGTACTTCGTCTCTTATTTCTGGGGCTCGAACTACCTGCTGCAGGTGCAGCTCTGCATGCTGCAGCATTTGTAAAACATCATAATGGCTCCCTTATATAGAGTTATGTGGTGGAAACTGAAAATAATCTTATTGCACTTTGCCCAACACTGTAAAAATTAGGATGGCTACACAGAAAAGGTGCTTTGTACCTATAATTTGGGAGCATCTGGTATGGCTACCATGTTACTTTTCAAAGTTCTTGATTATGGTATAAGTATAAGAAATTAAACTGTAACATCCTTGGCTGCCAAGGGTGAATCTATTTCTGGTTATATGGTGTTTGTAACTCTGATTAGCTATCGAGTCACTACAATAAAACGGGTGGCCATATACATTGAAATAAATTTAATGTTGATTGGAGATGCTTTTTAAGCCATTTAGATCTCTCTCTCTCTCTCTCTCTCTCTCTCTCTCTCTCTCTCTCTCTCTCATCTATTCTTGTTGACCCAGCCAAATCAAAATTTCTTGGTTTAAATGGGGATTACCTACAAAAATGTAAACAATATTTAAACAAAAGGACTTGATAGTTTTTCTCTCTTGGAGAATAGAAAGGGAGGAGCAAAAGTTGGTAATCCAAGCAGGCTGGCTTTCTTATATAAGGCAGAAAACAAAAGGATAAGTATAATGCTGTTTTGTCCACCTCTCAAAATACCTTTAAAAGCTTTTGGTGCCTTAACAACAGGATAGTTAGCTTAGAACAGAGAAAGCAACCATGACAGATAAAACATTCGTAGAAGAAATAGAGAAAGCGCTGGAAAAATCCAAAGGTCTTAAACTCCAAGAACTTCTCTTTTCCTACCAGGGAATTCCTTATCCGAGTTCAGTATGCAGTGCAGAGACGTTTCAAGCCCTGGAGAATTTTGAAAGCAGAAAAGATGATGTAGTGTTGGTGTCCTACCCCAAATGTGGTGAGTAGAATTCTTGTGTTATTTTGTTGCCAAATGAGATCATAAGCAACTATTAAAAAAACACCTTTTTAATATTGTCTATCTGAAGGTGTTATATAATATTTATCATTACCCTTGAGATGGTTTATACAGAAATAGCACCATTAATTCTCCTTTTTCTAATAAAACTTTTTGTACCAGAATTAGCTTTAAAATTATTAATTGGTGTTAAATGCTGCATTATGTAAGTAAACCACTGTATATAAGCTGTTCACAAAGGAGAAAACAGGATGGTAAATAAAATGTTAAATGTTATTATTGGAATATGTCAGTTAGCATTTCATTAGCTTATTTGAAGAGGTTTTTAAATCTTAAAAGTGTTTTTATAATAATGAAAAATTGCCATGTGCCATTAACTGATGATTTCAGTGCAAATGCATACTTTAGTTATTTAAAATGCTTTATATTATTTTAAGATACATTTCTTTATGGTTCAAGCATCATGCTAAGTCATTTTTTAAAAAATTGGCTTAGTGTAGTGTGTGAATGTGGTTTATTCAACAGAATATGGGGACAGCTATGACTAAACCTCAATAATGCCTGATTCAAAGATTTCAGCTAAATCATGACGTTATAATTAGGCTTAAAAC